TAATTTAAACTAAGTTCCTTAACAGGGGCCCAGGGATCTCCCTGTCTTCTGGGACAGTGAACTGACCTTCACCGGGCGACCCGCCGGCAGGAGAAACGACTGGACCTTAGTCTCCATATAGGAATATACTTGTAAACAGTCATATAGTTATATATAGTAATATAGAAATGGAGTATAATGGAGTACCGTAGTATAGGTATATACGGTACATAGTAGCGTCAATCATCTCCACTCAGCTTGATCCAGTCCCTGGGCTAACAAAACACAAAAGGTGCGGGAGAAAACAAAAACGGCACATTCTCAGCAATCAATCTCCCTGGGGACACGAGATCACCTCCATCAGCTTTCCGCTGCGGATCATGACCCAGTCGCCATCTTCGGACATCTCCCTGCACATCCTCTCGACCTGAAGACGGCGCGATAAACATGATCAGCCTGTCTTAGTTTTCTACTCAGTACTACTCTAGCCGCATGTTGCACCACGTCTTTACTACTAGGGAATCCCAAGTCGTCAGCCTACCGTGCAACGTGTGGGCCGCAGTTCTCTGTGAATTCTCATTCCTTCTCACCCTCCATCTCACCTGTACAGGACAGCTCATGCGCGCTTTGATTCATAGCTTGCCAAGGAACGCGACACCAGCCGCGCTGGGCCCACGATGCAGGAGTCAATAATTTCGTGTGATCCGGGCTCTCGAGAACTGGAGACAGCACCAGGAACAACCTCGGCATGTTTGGAACATAGGACATGGAGATACACATGTGACCTGCATGCAAATCAAAGAACTGCAATGCCAGTAACTTCCTACAAAAAGCTTCTCCAGTTGCCAAGCAGAAGCGAGCAGGAAACCACATAAGCTGGGATGCTGCTGATTGCATTGCCCAGATTGCTACGGCTTACAGTGTGTTGAGGCATGTCTGTCGTAGGTTGGGGCTCCAGCTGTGGGCAAGAAAAATAGTCGTACCACAGGAAAACAGGAGCTGACCGCAAAGGGGCTGTCGGCAAGGTCTTGGCACTTGGCACCACGATCTCCGTCCAAGAATCCAGCTCCACACGACGCAAGTCGCACATCAGATGCTTCAAAGCATCCTGCAGCACTCGCATCTGAGTAAAGTCCGGGTCTGGGTGATGGTTGTCTAGCCACTGATGCGAAACAAAGAACGCCTTGCCCCTGCCCGTCTCAAACTCCTCGACTTCCGCCCGTGCCTTTAGCACCTCGTGCGGCTCGATCTTTGTCATCTGTAGCAGTGTGTTCAGAGGCACAACGTACATAGGAAAGAGCATGGGCGCGGATTCGGCAATACCTGGCAGGGATACTGAGCTTTCCCAATACTGCTGTAAAAGACAACAATTTCTGGGTCCTTGAGCTTGGTCAGGAAAGGAGAACTGATAAGGCTTGTGAGAACCGCTGAAGGCGTAGACGCCAGGGCTTGGGGGGGTAACAGGTGCAGCAAAAAAATTAGATCAAGCATACGCACATGATCCGATAGAACCAGACAAGAGATATCTGGAGCCCTGCACCTTGACCCCGACAGCTGGGACCTACCGAGAGTTACCGACATGCTCTCAAATCCCACCTGTGTGCTGCAAGAGCTTTGCACACTGCTCCAGCGCAGTGGGACGTCTGCATGGGCCACAGCGCGGCATGATTCCGGATCCGATTTTCTTCAACTAACCCTGCTCGGAACTCGGCAGCAAAGTCGGCAGAATATGCTCAGGACTCTCAAGCTTTAAAAGTAACCTTGTCGCGGAGCAGAGGGATGCAATTACTCAAAAAAACTCGGGTGAGTATAGTTCACCTGCTTCGCCGACACATACGGCAGATAGCGTCAGCACAATGCTGCTGAGACCTCTCAACGCCATATATCACGGTGTAACATGGCTACTACAATACAATAGGGTATATATAGGGGTTATATAGGGATAATGGAAAAGAAAGTGAAAACCACTACATTACAATCGGGCATATACATATACACATCCCTGAACCCTAAACCCTATATCTATCTATATACATATATACATGTATAGGGGTGTGAATCTGCATGTGCATCGCTTCGCGAGAGGTCTCGCCGACCTCATTGGATGACGAAGCCGCAGTCGAGTCGGGATCCTGAAAGCTTGTTGAGCTAGTAGACTATAGTACTATAGTAGTAGATTATAATAGTATACTAGAGTATATGATAGTAGTAGATTATAATAGTATACTATAGTATAGTATAGTATAGTAAATTATAGTAGTATATTAAAGTATATCGTAATAGTAGAGCAGAATATACTAGAGAAAATTATACTGACCTTTTAAAAGTTAGATCCAATGAATTGTTAAAGCGGGAAAAACCTAAGAAATGCACGATCACTAAACTAATCAATAACAAGGCAATTCAACTAAACAATTGAAGCTCAATCTTTGCCTCGCAAACGTACTGCAATCAGCCCACCATTCCACAACCGATCTCCAAAAAAGGACAACGCCTGCGGAGCTCGCAAGCCCCCGGCAGATGCAACATTTTGAGGCACATGTATTGTGTACGATTACGTGAAAAGCTTCCTTCAAAAGAGATCACATTCAACTCGGATTTCAGGAGCCCTGTTTCCCGGCAATGCACAACTGATAAGGGGGGTCCTGGGCCTATAGCGGCGCACAGCTTGTGACTGCGCTTCCATGGCAACGGTCTTGGAATTCCGACGTTCCTTCTGAAGGGCTTAGGCCTTTTCGTGACTTTGGGGAGATCCGGAAGCTTTGGAGCCATCACCTTGGGCAAATGGAATTCGATTAGGGATATGGGGGTTTCTACTGACATGTGAAGGTACTACTGCATCAACTTCATGTTGAACCTGCTTCGTGGGACCTTCGCCGCATGCACACGTGCCCGCGATTTCACTTTACACCAAATCCATGGACATAAGCACCCCAGCAGGAGAAAAGTAGCACTTACCACTTGTCATCCTTGACATCCGTCGAAGGGACTGGCATCAGGATAAGCATCCTTAAAGCATTAACATATCATTGAGCCCAATAGCACTACATAACTGGTTACCAAGGACTGAAGAGGTGGATCCTTATAGTATGGTCCCTAGTCCCTATCTGACGCCCATCGTACAATCACTTCCGCGTTCTTGTCCATTCCTTCCTTCCCTGCTAAGTCTTGCATATCCGCATGTCACTAGTGCCAGGCTTAAATATGCTCTTCCATTATCCCTATATACAACCCAATATACGATAGTAGTTTCCGTTTTCTTTTCCATTATCCCTATATAACCCCAATAGTAGTTTCCATTTTCTTTGCCATTATCCCCATATAAAGCCCAAGTTACTATACAGTACTAGCTTCCATTGTTGAACTCCTGGGAGCCCTGAAGATTGCTTTCACCTACGCCACCTGTGCCACGGTAGTGTAAACCGAGCAGCCAGCTTTCTACAACCATTGACCTGGCCTGCGATATGGTTTAGGGTTTAGGGTTTGGGGCTTTATAGGGATGATGGAAAATGAAATGGAAAGTACTATAGTATATTGGGTTTTTTTCGGGAAAATGGAAAACATAAAGGAAACTACAGGTATTATAGGGATTATGAGGAATGTATTCAAATGGTAATTTCCCAAAATCAGGGTCCCATTTTGGTACCCCTAAATAATATGTAGGTGCCGTAGCAAAAGTAAGAAGAGCCCACATGTGGCAGTTGCTCAAAACATGGGACATCAATATAGACCTCAAAATTCTATAGTCCCTCTCATGGGGATCCCCAAGAAAGTGCCCCTAATCTGGGGAGACCCCCATATAATCCTCTGCCTCAGCACCTGGGGATGCCGCGTCTGGCGTGCTTGTAACTCTGCAGCTAGTCTGGGTGACTATAACCCCTCTGAAGTAGATAGAATATGAGGTATATGGGGATCTTAGTATAATATACCCAAAGCCATATTCTATCTACTTTATGGGGACTATAACCGCAATGTATACCCCATTGTAATATCGGTGTTTCCATTTTCTTTTCCATTCTTTCCATAATATAACCCCAATAATATACTGTACCCCCATGTTCTATCTACTTAAGGGGGACTATTAGGTCGTGGGTTGCGGGGGTCTTCAAAATTTGCTGATGCCTTCGAACGCAGAATTGCGTTCAGAGCCCAGGGGGACTATAACTACCTGATCCGTCTGCAGGACATTGGCGGTTTGACAGGAGTGCTCCAAAGATCGCCCCGCACTTTTTCGCCTTTGTAGCGACGATGCCCGGGCCCATCACATTTTGCGACCGTCAATTTTTTTGTTCCTTGGTGCTTCAAGCTGTATCATGACCACATGGGAGCTGGGTGAGGAGAAGAATGTTCAAGCCCAGCTTCGACTTGTAATCCCTGACCTGGGTTGGATGCCCAAGCAGCAGAAATCTGACTACCAACTCAAACGCAACCAGCGCGGCCACCTGCGACCATTTTTCAACCAAGCTGCAAGAGGAGCATTGCTCTGCCTCAAGCCGCCGCAACGGAAGCACTTCTCGTTGCGTGGGAAATTTCGTTCCTCACACCTTAACATCCCCGCACTGCCAATGAAGCTGTCCCGAAAACAACACTCACTGCTCAGAAACGAACGGCTCGCCGTTTGCCTTGGACCTCAAGCAGATCCAGTCTTTGCTTGTGTCTTCACCCTCCTGGCAAACACGCGCACTCCATTCTCTCTACAGCTCTGGGCTCATCGACTGATCTGCATCGACTGATCTGCTGACAGTGCAACTGCAACTTGTCTTCTGCTGCGGGCCTTGTATTTCTGCTTCCGTCCGTCCTTGTACACCTGTGCACTTGAGTAGCAGCTTCCCAACTCAATACAGTTCCCAGCCCTACTGGTGCACCTCCTCGTCATCCTTCCGCTCGATAAAGGAGAAGGCTCCACAAGTCAGGCCCAGCGCCTCAAGATTGTTGAAACCCTGCAGCACCGCAGGTTTGGGCATCGCATGAAACATCTCGCCCGGTCCTAGTTGCAGCTTCTTCGACATGTTTGGAGACTTCTACACTCTAGGGTTAAGATCGCGGCACGCTGGATCCTTGAGTCTGGATTTCGGGGGTCCAACTCCTGCACAAGCAGCCGTCATTTACCAATAGCAATAATAGTAATAATAAAAACAATCTGTAACAATTGCAAAAATGTAATACAAGTAACAAATCATGGCAACAATAGCAATAATCGACTTCTTTTCTGATCGATGAAACTGCACAGGGCCTTGCCGGATGTGGAGAAATCCATATCCATGACCTGCAGCTCTGGAGCAGGTCATTTTAGTGTAGGGGGTTTAGGGTTTAAAGCCTAAATCACGACCAACAATATGGTCCCAGGCTCTTCGTATCCTTGTATGTCTAGTAAAGGACACATCAAGCACACCTCAAGATAATATTGGTAGTCATGTAGGCCCCTACTCTACAATCGCCACAAACCCTATATAAACGCAGTTTCATGTCCTTTTCTCTTTAGTTCTGCCTTGTTAGGGGTAGTATCCCCAAACCGTCAACCCTAAATAGCAGCTTCCGTCTCATTTGCCATCTTCTATTCCATTTGATTATTCTTAGGGGTGATATCTCCCTACACCCTAAATAATAGTTCCCATTTTCTTTTCCATTGTCCAGATACAATCCCTATATACTCCTTACAGAATGGCAATACACTAGGCCCAGTCAGCCCTGACCCTAAACCATATATACTGGTTCCATTTCATTGTCCATTTTCTTTTCCATTTGATTCTCCATTAAAGTGGGCATGCTATCTCTAAACCCTATATAATCCCCATATACACCCCCCTTTCATCCCTGTATAACCCCATATAATCCCTAATACACAAGGCTCAGCCAGTCAGGAGACGAATGGGAGGCTGCTGGAGTCTGAGGAATCGCTGCTTGAATCACTCCTTGGCTTTGAGGTATAGGGCTTAGGATTTAGGGGTTTACTGGGCTGCGGTAATTACATTACCATAATATGGGTATATACTAAGTATTAGGGTTTCCTTGTTATAGTAAGTTAATTTCACATTCCTTAACAGCAACTCAGTTTAAGGTTTAAGGTCCAAGGATTAGGCTGCAGCGTCAGACCGCGGCTTCAAACGGTTTAGGAATTAGGGTTCAGGGTTGGGGGTTTAGGGTTCTTTAGGGTTCAGGGTTTAGGGGTGCAGCCAAGGTTCTTGTTGCTCTTCCCACTTTTGCCCTCTTTCTTCTTCTGGACCAATTTCTGCATCTTTTTCCTGCCAGGTAGTGCTTCCATCCGACCACCCTTGTCCAGTGTATATGGTGCCTTTTTGGGGCTCCCTATTATAAGGCGTATATTTATCTTTCAAGATATTTTGGGGTCTTTGGGAAACAACCAGGTAGGGCCCTAAACCCTAAAACCCTAATACCCTAAAACCCTAAAGACCTTTTTAATTGAGCTCAAGGTGCAGCTTCTTTGCAGCTTTCTTGGCCTTCTTTGCCTTGCGGTGCATGATCAAATAAGCCATAGTCTAAACTCTCAACTCCTAGTTCCCCTTAAATGAGCCAAATCCCCAACCCTCAAACAATATCGGGGCTTGGGGTGTGGGTTCCACCACCATTGCGGCAGATGGAAGAAGAAAAGGGGAACTTAGTAACTCCTGAATTACTGCCCTATATAATCCCGTTCAAGGAGTTTAGACCATAGATCACATGAACCTGATAGTCTGGTTCCACGCCCTCCTGCCTACTTTGTCCAAACCTGCAAGCAAAAGGATGGGGATAGTAGCAGCTTATGGGGAAACCTCTCCACAAAACAAGGGGTGCTCTTTCAGTACCCTAGCTCAGCTTCGATAAGGGACTAACTCTAATGACGCGTGAGGTGACGGAAGACCTGCATGCGACCCCGCAAAGGCAGGCAGCCTATCTGGAGCCTTCCCAGACGGTTGCTCGAAGACCCCGCTAGAGCTTCAAACAAGTCTGCAAGCGAGCAGAAACTGTGAGAATAGTAGGAGTTTGGCCGATTTCAGCCCTCCTTCTCCCCCAGACTGCAACATGCAGGATCACAGCAAACTGCTCGTAAACTTCTCTCTTCTTCTTCTGATTCTTCTTCGTCCATGGGTTGGTTGGCTCCTAAAACGTAACACCAGAATTGCATACAAATCGCCAGCCTCCTTCTTTGCTTTCTTTTTCATCTTCCTTTGTTTCAAAGGTCAGGTGTTGATGGTTGACCAGGCAAGTACTGTAACCCTTAAACCCTAGACCCTAAACCCTAAATGTTGTGGCCAGCGTCTTTAACCTCTTTGCCTCCTTCTTGTCTCCATCCTCCTGCAAACACATGGAGCCTTGTGCCTAGTTGGCTCTGGAAGAAAAAACCAACTTATAGCAATACTGGTAATACTAATCATAGTACTAGTTATGATCGTAAAGATAGTAGTACTAGTAATGCTAGTAATGATAGTAAGAATAGCACTAATAATCAGAAATGATAGTAACAATAGTGATAATACTGATAGCAACAATAGCAATACTAACATTTTCTAATTGTAAAAACAGACTTGTTGTGGCCATGGCCTTCTTCTCCAAATCATGGCCTTGCTCTCGCAGCTGCGGGGATAGTCCTGCAAACATTGGTGTTTGGAAGCCTAGCCAAGGACATATTCTAAGTGGGTCTCAGTAGAGAATAAGGGAATATGTTATACATTGGGCTGTTTGAGCTACGGACGAAGTGCTCATAGGGATCCTATTCCCTTATTCCCCACTGAGAACCAATAGGTCAAGGCTGCAGAAGACTGACCTGGTAGTTTCCCAGAATAAGGGGACCCAATATAGACCCCAAAATACTATTATCCTTTTTATTGGGACCCCCAAAAAAGGTACCCCTAATTTTGGGAAACTGTCACCTCTCTTGGAACTCATGCTGCAAGTCGCTCCCCGATCTCCTTCAAGCTCTGTCACCATGTGCGGACATCCACTTGTAACGGTCTGGTGGAACCCCTCTTGCCCACATGCCTCCCCATCAGCTATGGCTTCGGCATAGCTCAGGTACACAGGCAAGGTAAAGAATGAAAGGATCATAAAGTCAGAAGTTGCTGGGTTGGAAAAAATCAAAGTCCATGCTGTGTCAAAACCTTCTGGCATCCGCTGATCATAGACTGTGGAAAAGTCGGGCTTGGCTACTCTAATGCTGGCCACACACGTAACATCATGTCACCGTGTCCGAGCCGGGAAGGCTCAGGTGAGAACACGACGCAAACTGAAAGTGAATGGGTAAGGTTAAGCTGCTGCTGTAAGTCACAACCCCAGCGACGTCTAGCATGCGTGGGCCGATGGAGGATTGCAGGAGCTGACCCCAGACTACTCCATCTTTTGCCCGTGGCTGTAGATGTCAGCGTCTCACGAGGAAACAACAAGTAGCACCTCACGTGTTTGGTCGGGCAGAAGGTACCACTTCCAAGCCCTCCACTCGATCCACGAGCAAATCAACAACAACTCCTGCTGAGCTCGCGAGCTGCAAAGTACATGACAGCATCATGATGAGGTGCTCGTCGTTATTTCAGTACCTTGTACATGCGCCGCTTGTCCTCAGAATGGCGCCAGCGATGCAGGTGCAAGTGCGCCAATGAAGCCCTCGAACCATCAAGTTCGACTACCGTTATCATTATAACAACTCTGCGGGTTGCTTCTTTCGAATGACATAGTTTAGCAGCTGTCAGCGGTCATATCTCGAGGCCCTCTGATGAGGCAGATATGTCTGCGGCTTAGCCACGACCTGAGCCGCTCGGGCTTGGATGCTGTTGCCCGGAAAGTCTGAACTGGGGTTTGTCCAGATTGGGCCCGCAATGCCGTGTCGGGCACGTCACGGGCCCAAAGAAGCTTTGGGTCGGGTTCAAGTGAGTTGGTGCTCTCTACTCTGCTCCTCTTGCCAGGATGCGCATGGACTTTCCCAGACAGGCGTATGTGCTCGCTCTACAGCAGGCAAACACGCAAACAGCAGCTTGAAATTAGTGCAGGATTCTAACATTCACAGCTGGATTGGGGGACCAAGTTGTCAAAATCTGTGAGCGAATCTGTCAGCGGCTAGGCTCATACGTAGATCTACAGCGTGGCAAGCTTGCCTTATCCCGGATTGCGGAGCATGAGACCTGCAGCCTCTGCAAGTGATCTAACCCTGCAAGTGCAAAAGGCTCTGACAGGCTAAGGCAAGATAAAGCCATCCTCTCCGAGTAACGAGCTGTACAAGAGGCTATTCGGGCGCGCATGGGTTCAAGCTGCGACGAAACCTCTAGGTTCTGAAACGCTGCTGCACTTCTGCTGCATCATACGTCGCCTAACTTGACCCCATTGAGATGTAGCCTCGACCCGTCAGCTCCAACTTCACCGTACGACCGCGCCAGCATAAACCATAACAAGTCCTAACCATAACAACACACATATCATGCGCCTGACCAAAATACTTAGACCATCAAGCCACAAGCTACAATCCACAATCAGATGGCACAGTGTGGTACAGAGAAGTCTGCCCTCAGCGAGCACCCAGCCTGGCAAGAACAAAATACACCAACAGAATGACGCGTTAAGCTCGCTATTTGTTTGAACCGGTGATCGAGCCTACGAACGCTGGGTAAAATGGCAATCGGAGAGAAGCATGGCCTCAGAACCCCTAGCTGCCACCAAGGTAGCATTTATTCAGGGCGGCATTGCCACGTTTGATTGCAGCGCAACTGAGTTCCAGCACAGCTCCAGAAGAACGAAGCGCTTGCACATTCAGAACCTGTCTGATGCAATGTACACCATGTCAGTTTCTGCTTACGTGCGGTGCTTTGTCCCACGACTTGGGCAAGGGCATCATGCTATGGAGACTTGTCTAGCTTAACGACGCACCTTGCACGTCTCTGTGGCTTCAAAGGATTTTCAAATCTTTGGCTCCAAGGCCACGTGGGTCCTGGCAGATGGTCTTGTGCTTGAACTGCTTCATGCATCGCAACCTGAAGGTCCTCATACACTGTGAAGCTGACCTTGACACCGGGTGCCTGAAGCTACAATACCACAGCGCCACAATCCAGGGAGCATTAAGCTTTGCAAGGGCCCAGCCAATGAACCATCCTCAGGCACGTCTGCCTTTCCCACCTGATAGTCACCAATTGGTCTTCAGGCACGTGCAGTCCCGCGAGGAATTCGAATGATTCATGGCTGCAGCTGAGGTGCGAAAATCTTGCCCTCGCGGCGAGACGCAGCCTTGTGGTCGATCTCCATATCAGCCTTGATCCAGCCATGCGATTCCTTGCAGCAAAGCCAGTATTTAGTGCAACGGGCTAGATGCAGGAAAAGGGGGCAGTCCTTCCACTCCAGAACTTCACCAGTGATAGTCTCTGTGAGCACGTCCTTGCGCGGAAGCTCACCTTAGGCAGCTTGAACATTTCAGCAAAATGTGCTGCTTTCAACGAGGCTATTGAAGGCAAGGCGCTTGAAGGCATGCCCCACCTTAGTTGGGTTTTGCTGAACGTGGCATTTGCGGGCTAAGTGTTAGACATGGAAACTGTAATTCCACATGCTGCTGAGGCTCATCCATCCCCATTGCCAGGGATCCCACATGAAGCCTTTACCCTTCCCCTTGCCCTGGCACATACGGAGAAGGGCAACAAGCACAATGCAGAGTCTCAATCCGGCATGGTCTATCTCTCTCCCAGATACAAATAGTAATGACCCAAACTACAAAAACTCGACAGTACGTTCTTGCAACTGCAACAAAACCAAACAATAGTTCAGATAAAAACAGAATGACAAGGATGATCACAGTCAAAATCTGCTGTCTGCGCCTTGCCACCTTTGCCGAAACCTTTCGGCTTATCAGCCTCCTCCATGAGATCCTTGTCCTTTCAGAACTTGACAGGTTTAGGGGTTAGGGTTTAGGTTTGAGGGTTTAGCATTTATGGCTCAGAACTTGACAGGAGTGTCAACATGCCCAAAGCAGCCATTTTCTTTTCCAGTATCCCCACATTACCCCAATATACTGTATTACACACCCCAAGCCCTAAACCCATTATACTATAACATGCTATGATATACCGTTCTGTAATAGTTTATATATATGTAGAAGCCCTAAACCCTAAACTCAAAACCCCCATAGCATAGTAGTTTATATATACATATGTGAATACTCTAAACCCTAGACCCCCATAATATAACAGCTTATATATATATATACATAGGTATATACTTTAAACCCTAAGCCCTAAACCCCCATAATTTNNCATGATCTACCTCTAGGTCTTTCTTCTGCGTACAAATGCCACAAAACACTGCAAATAGCGATGAATTTGCTGTCTGGGAGATTTGCTTGTCGACCCTCAAAACTACTGTGGGTTTTCTTCTGTGTTATCAGCTACGCAGAATTGAGAGATATAGAACTTAGAAGGCTAGAAGCAGCTTCGAATCCTAGGAATCCAGGATCTCGCTATTAGTTTTAGATAAATTTGCTTTTTCCAACTCTTTCCACATTTGTCCAATGAAAAAGTTGGCTTTTTGTGTCTGGCGAGCTGAAAACGTTGTTTTTCCTATGTTTTTTGGATTTTCTTGAAAATCACCAAAAACCTAGGAAATAAAAGGTTTCTGGACTACGGAAACCTGAAAGCATTGTGTTTCCTAATTTTTTATTTTCAGGAAAATCCAGAAAAAAAGCATAGGAAAACAATGTTTTCATGTCGCCAAACACAATAATCTAACTTTTGCCTTGGAAAAAGTTGGAAAGTTTTGGAAAATCCATTTTTTAATTGAAATAAGGACTCCAACTTTTTCAGTACATCCAAGGATTTACGCGAAAAAGTTTGATTTTGAATATTTGGATTTTCCTAGAAACTCAGGAATCCAAGAACCCAGGATTTCATTCTCAATTCCATATAAATTCAAGAAGCCATTTACAAGGCCGGAAGCAGCTACACTTCATGAGGAATTTATAAACTGTTAAATACATTTAGTAGGCCGGAAGAAGCGTCGAAATTCAGAATTCCAGGAATCCAGGATTTTTGTTATTAGTTAATTCAATCTAAAATTGGATTTAGAAGCCAAAGGCAGATGCGTACTATAAGGAACTGAATATGTTCTTTGATATCAGGAGTTGAAAGCGTATCAAAAAAATGTGACTTATCACTGGGTAGCGTAATTGATTCCAAATACTGTGACTTGTAACTTTGAATTGTAATATATTCCAAACAAAGAAAAGGATAACAAATGATGAAGACCTCTTCCCATTCTTGGAATACTTAAAATGAATTAAGATAACCCAAAAAACAATCTCCAAGGCAGAATTCCAAGATTTCTCTTTGTTTCCTAAGTGGATTTTACAAGGAGTTTATATAAAACAAAGCCACCTCCAACAGTAGAATTCCAGGATTCCAAAATGTCTCCTTAATTCCTGAGTGGTTTTTGAAAGGTGTTTATCTAAAACAAAGCCACCTCCAAAACTAGACTTCCATGATTTCAAGATTTCTCTGTTATTCCTAATTGGACTTCAAAAACCTGCAAAAGTAGAATTGCAGCGGTCCAAGATTTCTCTTTAATTTCTAATTGGTTTTTAAAAGGATGTATATAAACCAAAGCCAACTGCAAAAGTCGAGTTTCAGGATTCCAAGTTTTCCCTTTAATTTCTCATTGGATTTTAAAATGGATTTGTATAAAACAAAGCCACCACCCAAAGCTAGAATTCCAGGATTCCAAGATTCCTTTTTGCTTTCTAATAACGCGTTAAAGCAATTTGTATAAAGCAAGGCCACCTCCAAAACTAGAATTCCAGGATTCAAAGATTTCTTTCTAATTACTAATTGGATTTGAAAAGGAAATTATGTAAAGCAAAGCTACATCCAAAACTAGAATTCCAGGATGTCAAGTTTCCAGGATTTCTGTTGAATTCCCAATTGGATTTTAGGAGGAATCTATATAAAGCAAGGCCACCTCCAAAACCAAGATTCCGTCATTCCAAGATCTCTTTTTAATTCCAAATCAAATTGTCAAAAGGACTTATATACAAGAATTCTAGGATTCCAACATTTCTCTTCAATTCCTATTTGGGCTCATTGGATCTTAAAAGGAGCTTATAGTCATGAGGACCTGTTCGAGACCCACCAACCCACCAAAAGGTAGATCGTGGGGGGGGGTGATATACATATATATACATATGTATAACTCTAAACCCTGAAACCTAAACTTCCAGAATGCAGCAGTAGTATATATACATAGTAGTTTGTATGCAACCACTGGTGTGGCTCCTGCTTGATGGATTCCAGGGCTATTTCTGCCGCGCTCTGCTCAGCCTGTCCAAATGAGGGTTTAGGGTTTATGAGGTTTTGAATTTAGGGTTTAGTGTTTTTTTCTTTTCCGCCCTTTTCCGCCTGCGTGACAGACGAAAGACTCCCTGGTCAGGCTTTAGGTCTTTCTTTGCGGACCTTTCTCCAGCTGCCTACTATGGTGACCGGAATACGTTTCAAGTAAGGTCAGAGTTTAGGGTTTAAGGAATATAGGGTATTCTATTGGGGTTATATATGCGTTTATAGGGCTTCTCTAGGGGTTATAGAGGTTAGTTAGGGGTTATATAGGGGTTTAGAAAAAAACCAATGGGATTTCTCTAAATCATGGGCTGGCTTCGGCCAGGTCTGTTTGGTGTAGGTGAAACACGCGGGATGCCCGCGCGCCACCTAGCCAGTCCTACATAGGGGGTTTTACAAGATTAGGAGTACAAGTTTGGGGGGTTTGGGTAGTTCCCCCAAATTATGGGCCCCTTTTGGTTATAGGTTATATTACGGCTCGTAATATTTGAGGATGCCAAAATGGGACCCCAATTTGGGGAACTTTTTTCCCTCCCGCTTGGCTGTGACGCATGCAGGGACCATTGGATCCCAAAGCAAGTGGGCTCAACGCATACATGAACGTGTCAAAAACCGAAACGAATTACTATGGAACAGTCACCCCATCGAATGTAGACAATAGCATTAAACAGTAAGCAGCAGCGGGAGGCAACCCATATGAAGGTCCCCCCATCTATGGAGACGACCACATGCTGCACCATGGCAGCCAAGCTCCAGTCACACAGCCAACCTAAACCTAAACAGACCCTAATCAGGGAGTTGTCCTTTGTACCCTTAGGGTTTGTACTCTTGGGCTTGGGTCCCTAGACCATGGAATCTAGTTCTTAATAAGGGTATCTGGGACCCAAAACCTAGGGTTACAAACGTCAGGGGTACACACTTCAGGTCTTTGACTTAAACCAAAAAACCTAAACCCAACCGCCTGCCTTCTGCTTGGTGGTGCACACCTTGAAGTAGCTCAGGTCTATGGGGTCTATGGGGATAATCTAGGGATAATCGGTCTAGGGTTGATGGTTTAGGCCGGAAAATGAGAAAACTACAATATGTAGGGGTTCTATAAGTGTTAATCTAAGGTGGGGGGCTTGGCCGTTTGCATGGCACTGACGGCATAGCAAGGTCCGCACTCGGCAAAGACTGAAAGCAGCTGAGGTATAGACTTTAGGGATATTAGGGATATTATCCCAACCCTAGCAATGTTGCCATGTTTATTGCTGCTCTTGACCTGCTATGCTATGAATAGAAATCCTACGCTATGGTTGCGACTAGTGTTGCTATTGAAGTGATACTAATGTCGTTATTCAACAATTGAAGTGGGTTATTCTCAGGATTAAGGGCACATTTTGGTCATGGATTATACTACGGCACCAAATATCTAGGGCCACCAAAATGGGACCCTAATGTTGGAAACTACCCAACCCTAAACCCTAAACTCTCAACCCTAAACCCTAAACTCTAAACCCTAAACCCCAAACCCTAAACACTGAACCCTGAACCCTAAACACCCTAACCCCTAAACGAAATACTGTGGCCAGGCTGCATGGCCCGCCCACATTCGTTCACTCCACTCTCCCGGCAGTGCAGAAAGCTTCACTGTTGCCTAGCGCGGAGCAGCCACATTGGACTTGGCCTAAGTTACTGTTCCCCAAATGG